TGGCTCTTACTTTTTCAAAACGTTGCACCTTTCTCCATATTTCATTAGTTACACTCAAAAGCCAAACCAACCACCCCACACTTCAACTTTTATAAAGGTCATAACAATTTTAAGTTCTCACGAGAGGTGAAATGGTTCAAATAGATGGTCAATTCAAACAAATGAGTAAGGCTTGTAATGTTGTTGCCAACGAAACAGGATTACATGCTCAAAAAGGTTAACTAAGATACATAACAATTAGGTGGGTAAAATCATATGACTGGCTCAACAAAGAAATTCCTATATCACTTCCAGGACTGAATAAAACTATTATTTCTCTTTGTAAACACATGGGGCAAGTTCAAGACATCAAATGCAACGCATAGAATACAACAAAACCTCACACACACATGGCACATAACTCACTCAGGATTGTACTCATCAAGACACTCTAGTTAAAGCAGTTAAGCAAAGTTAAGATCATACAATTTAAGGTACTTATACGAGAGTCAAAAACTGAGCCTAAGCGTCACAACTAAAGCACTCACTATTCTCAAGGCATAACAAAGTCAAGAGATATTGCTTCAATTCAAAACATAGCACACGTTTTTCTACTTAAGACAAAAATAAAAATTAACTACACCCGTTCAAACAAAAACCGTTGGAAAAGAACTGCAGCACAAAGAAAAACCAAGGGAAAATTATTAAACTACCTACAAAAGAAAATCTTTTTGGTCTTTTTCAAAAAAAAATTCCTACCACTCAAACTAACAAAAGCATAAACAATCAAGCTAACTAAGGAAAAACTTCCCTGGATCTCTAGTCGGGGTCTGAATCAAAGTCGGGCTCTATTCCACGCGCCCGAACTAGTGCACACATCCATGCAGACAACTTCTTCTCGGTCTTCTTGGGGTACACTCCATATTTGTCTTTCTCAATAACTGTAGCCTTTTCTTTCACCCCCTCCCCCCTCACCTTCCACTCAACACTTGCAGTCAGCCTCTCCTTTTTCACTCCAATTGCTACATTCATCTCAAAAGTCACAGTCTCCTCACCCACTCTAAGCATGAGTTTTCTATCATGTATATCCAGTATAGCTCTACCCGTTGCTAAAAATGTTATCTTCCTAGGATGAGGGGGACCTTCTTGTTCTCCTCCATATTCACCACTATGAAATTTATAGGAAATATGAACTTATCCACCCGCACCAAAACAAGTTCTACTATCCCCTCAGGCGTTGTAGTTGTTTAGTCTGCCGGCTGCAAAGATATTAGCACCGACCTTATCTCTCCAATCTCCTTCTCTAGTTTCCTGTAAATAGACAATGGCATTAGATTAACTGAGGCACCAGAATCACATAAAGATTTATCAAAGCTACAAGTGCCTGAAGAGCAAGGTATAGTAAAACTCCCTGGATCACCACACTTTTGTGAGGGTTTGTTTTACAAGATCGCGCTGCAATGCTCTGTGAGCTTAGCCAGTGAGGTCTCTTCTACTTCCTCTTCTTTGTAAGGATCTCCTTCAAGAACTTGGCATAACCTGACATTTGTGAGAGAACTTCAGTGAATGACAGATTTACATTAACATGTCTCAGCATATCGAGAAATCTCTCAAACTACTTGTCCAACTTTTCTCTATAGAGTTTTTTGGGAAAGGGTAGAGCAGGAATGCACTTTCTCGCTTCATTAGATTCCTCCCTTCTTGAAGTTTCCTCTTTCTTCTTTTACTCAGCTCCTTTCTTTCCTTTCTTCTTCTTTTTATCATCTTTAATGCTTAGCTCTATTTTTAGCTGCTCTCCACTTTCTTTTTCAGGCACAACCTCTTTTTGGACAGGATCTTTCAACACTTGCCCGCTTCTCAAGGTCACAACATTTACCGTCTCTTTGGGATTCTTTTCAGTATCAGCTGATAGAGTACCTGGGATTCTCTCAGATAATATATATTTGCAATTTGACCCAGTTGTCTCTCCAAACTTTGCAAACCCATCCCAAGTTCATTGATAGCTACACCATGAGCATCTAGCCTCTCATTTGTCTTGAGAATGAATGACTTTATCAAATCTTCTAACCCAGACTGATTTGATTGCTGAGGCTGAAACTGCAGCCTCGGATTATTCAAAAAACTAGGAGCTCGTTGAAATTTGGAGTTATTTTGTTGCCATGAATTTATTGTACCCACAGGTGAACTCCATGAAAAACCGGGGTGCTTTTGACCCATTGCATTGAAGTTATAATTACCCACAACATTAACTTCCTCAGTTGAGGCTTGACACTCATGAGTAGGGTGTCATCTTCCACATATGTCACATGCTGCATGAGGCTCATTATGTATCGAAGCTAAAGTTAGCTTCCTTATTTCTTTTGTCATGGCATCAAGCTGTATCTGCAAAGATGTGTTAGCGTCAACCTGGTGAACGCCGGTCGATCTTCTTCTTTTAGCAATCCCAGAGGGCCACTGATTTGCATCTTCAGAGAACTCATCTAGAATTGTGACTATATGCTTTGGAGTTTTCTTCATCAACAGACCTCCAGCTACATTGCTCAATGTTCTGCGTGAGGCCGGTGTCAAACCATCCCAAAAGTCCTGGAGTTGCATCCAGAGTTCAATTCCGTTGTGTTGACACTTTCGCACTATCTCATTAATCCTCTCCCATGCTCTCGTTCTGGCAGAAGTTGTGGATTTCTCTTCTATACTTGCCCGTTTTAGCCGAGGAGAAATATTTAGCGAGAAATTTTCCGGTCTCCTCTTATGTTCTAATCGATCCCTGGGGCAAGCTTCTAAGCCAGTGCTTTGCATCATCTTTAAGTGTGAAGGGGGATGAACTTAGATAAACTACATCTTGTAACACACCATTGTATTGAAAGGTGTTCATAATCTCCTCGAAGTCCATCAGATGATTGTTTAGATCTTCGTTCATCTTTCCTCTGAAGACACAGCTGTTTTGGAGAGTTTGGAGAAACCCTTGCTTCAATTCAAAATTGTTGGCTGCAATAGGAGGGGTCTCACACTTGATAAACCTTGGTTGTAGACCAGTCTAGCATAATCGCCAAGTGGTCTCCCTTGGCCGGGAGCTATGTTTCCGAACTTGTCTGCACCCAAAGGCTGATTCTATGCCATTCTTCGAGCCCTCTCTTCTTCATATGAAATTTCTGCATCTCTAATAGCTGCTTCCTCGGCATCCCGAGCAACTTTTTCTCTTATTTGGGCTGCCTCTTTCGGAACCAAATCGACAATATTATCATCTCCATCCATACTTTCTGTGGTTGAGGATTGCCTAACCTTTTCAATTTTTTTCGGAGATTTCTTTCCTTCCTCAACTGTTGCAGTTGTTTCTCTATTTCTGGCTCGTATGGTTGCGCTTATTTCCCAGAAGATCGAGTCATGCACCAATCTAACCTGTAGCCTACGAACAGTCAAAGCACACCAAACGTAAATAGAGAAAATAAAATAAAAAGAAAAATTCTTGAATTAGCACTACTAACTATTTCAAACGCTATTGATTGCTAATACCCGGCCATGGTGCTAAAATTTAACGAACGCAAAACACACAGTAAAATATGCTCTCTACTCGAATATAGTAAATTATAATATCGTATATAGTAAATTATAATATCGTATCCACAGAGAATGGAATTAAACAATTATTATTGTAGTTTGTAGTTAAATTTTTATCCAAGATGATCAACAATGGAGATTTATGTCATTTACACTAAAATTAACTAAGAGTCTAAACTATTGAGTGACAAACAAAGCGAGTAATTAGCAAAGGAAGATATCAATTTGGGGAAAATAGGGTCGATAGCATAGGTGCAAGACAAATGCTTGGAATTTAACTCTAGATAATTAACTTCTAATATTCAATTGAGTCCCTCAAATTTACTTGGTTATTAGTTCATTTGTTTAGTAGAAACTCCTCTCTCGATTAAGTCTCAACCTCACAAGATGAATATATTTAAGATCGGTGAAGATATGCATGACTTCGTAGTAGATTGGTCTTTAGGAGAACCTCTCTCGATTATCCTCCTAACTAAGTTTAATCAACAATTCAACTAGCCACTTTCGATTACTAAGATGAATTAATGACTTCAACCGATAAATCATAATACAAAGATATCACAAGTTATGCCTTTCTCGATTACATGAACAAATGAATATAGATGCAACGGTTAAAACATCCAAAATGATTTCAATACATAAATCTAGAATTAATATCCACAAACAAGTATCAAGATACCAAATCCATCAAACCCTTAAAGATACTACTCCATAAATATGGAGCAATTCATCATAACAATGTTTAAATCAAAGGAAAACATGAAACGATGCGAACTCTGGTCTTGAGTGATGATTAAATGATGAAATCCTTGTGCTTTTGCTTCTCCATCTCCTCCGTAGCGTCCTTAGGTCTAAGATGTGTCAAAAGTCCTCAAAATAACGTTTTTGCATGTATTTATACTAAGTAGGGTTGGGCCCAAGCGAAAATACCTTTTCCTGCGCGAAATAGGATTCTGGCTCTATAAAAATTGCACAGGTGCACCGCTTGGGGCGTCGCGCCTTGGGGGCATTGGTGGGGAAATCCAGAGAGCTTATTCTGATAGGCTTCGGGAAAAATGGGCTAGCGCGCCGTCCCACGCGCCGCGACAGTGGGGGAATCTTAGAGTACAGATTTTGCTTGCGTTTCTGATATCCAGGTGTGATTTTCGACCACTGATAAGTCAGTATTTTACCAACTTATCTCTTCTTGTCACTTAGATTTTTGTTTTGAATTTTGAGAAAAATAGTGTACTTATTGTGGTTTTATTGCATTTTACAGATTTTATGTGTTTGGAAAGATACTTGGAAGGAAGCAAGTAATAAAAGGAAAGAAAAAGCCAAATTGAAGAAAAGAAGAATATTCTGGCTATATCTCAAAGTGGTTAAAAGTGGCTGATTTTGCAATTTCGGACAAAAAGTCTCCAGAAACGCAAAGCACCTGGTTGGGCGCAAATCTTGAGGATTTTCTTGTCATTTTAACTTGGAAAAATGGTGGGACTTATAAAAAGAAGACGGGGGTAAAATTATTAGTATCTTTGGCTATTTACCAAGCTTTGGGAGCAAGGATCCATAAAACTAACCTTCGGGATTGAAGATTTTGAGCCAAGCTTCTGAGAATTTCTTTCTCCTTTCTTTAATTCCTTGTCTTGGATTGCTATATTTGGTTTGGTTGATGTAATTTCAGGTTTGGATTTTGTAATAGGGATATTTCAATATTAGGGTCTTGATTTTAATGTTTTGTTGCTTTTGTAGTAATTGAATCTTGCTTATTTATGAAATGGGTCTTTAGCTTATTTGATTAATCTTGTGCTTTATTGCTTTCAAAGAGAGTAGCTAACTCTAGGACATCCCCAATTGACATGATTCACCTTGGGAAAGAGAATTAGGTTCGGCCTTAGATTAATTGACGAGATTCTAGGTTAATTGAGGAATTGATTAATCCTAGTCTAGTGATTGAGGTTAGGGATAGCCCTTCACGCTCGTAGCCTAAAGTTGGATTGCACTTAATGCAACTTGGTTAGATTAGGGATAATCAACCGGGTTAAACTCATTATTTGTTGAGAAACGGTAGTGGTAATCGAGTTTTAAGGCTAATGACCTAGACCTATGATTAATTAGCAAGAGTTGATTAAATACATTAGATTAATCTTGACATTAAAGTCTTCCCTGTTATCCATATTCTCTTATTTTCCTTGCTTGTGTGAATGCCATTGATCACTTTATTTGCTTTCTTAGAGTAGATCTTATTTTTCTTAGGTTTTAGTCCTCATCAACCTTTTATAAAGTGTTTGGCTTAGCTAAATTGGTGACAATTCCTCACTAGCTTGACCGCCCATATATTGTTCTCTGTGGATTTGGACATCATCAAAATTGGCGCTGTTGCCGGGAACAATTGGCGTATTATGTTAGTCTAAGAAGTTAACCAACTGGCTTTGGTCCAAACGTTGTGATTATTTGTTTAAGTGTTTGTGTTTTGTGAATACGTGTTTTGTGATTTTTCGTGTTTCTTTTGTGCTAGTTTAGTTTTGTTTTTGTTTCTTGTTTTGTTATGACATCTTGGAATGAAAATGGGTTGGATGGTTGCAATCTTTATTTTGATGACCTATGTCCTTATTGTGGAGGATCCCACTATTGGAAAACTTGTCAAAGAGTTCCTAGGAGCGAGATGTGTGCACCATCTAAATCCTATGAGGGAAATGGTTGTTATTTGTGTGGTGGTGTAGATGGTCATTTGGACTATTGTCCAAAGTATTTTGCCCCTCCCCCAAGTTATTCCTACGGAAGTGCTAATTATTCTAGTAATTTTGATAGGGATAATGAAGCGGCAAATGAGGGATATAGTGTCGAGTTTCAAGGAATTCAAGAAATGTTCCAACTCTATATGGAGCCGGAGGCCAAAATGGACAAAATGCAAGAGGATATTCAACAAAAGATTTTGGCCAATAACACTATGTTAGAAACGTGAAAAAGAAGGTTGAGGAAATCAACGCCTCAGAAGGCATGGATTTGTCTAGTTCTCTAGAGGTTGTAATTGAAAAAGAGATTTCAAGCCTAATGAAAGAGTCCACTTTGGTTGATGAGCGTGAAGAAATTTGTGAAAATGAAAGTGTGGTTCAATTTGTGGAAGTGCAAGGTGAAGAAGGAATCTCCAATGCTCAAAAGGAGGAAAATTGAGGAAATGTTGAGAGGCATAATGGGGAGAGACAAAAGATGGAGACAGATCTTGCGAAGTTGGTGGGAGAAATTCCAACAAGGTGATGAAGCCGTACAAGGCATGGATTGTACTATGGAAGCACTTATACAAGCCTTGATCGAGTTTGAAGAAAAAGCTAAAAAAGTAAAGATTTTGAGCGAAGAATGGCTAATGAATCAAGCTCAACAACTTGGAGTTTGTAGGGATCATCGTGAAGGCATTTCAAGGATGTTGGAGGAATTTTTGGAAAGAAATATTGAGCAAGGACAAGAATTGGAGCAACTTGGAATTGCTATTCGTGACTTGAGGGCTATTTTGAGTGCAAAAGTTAAGGCATGTAATGCTAAACTTCTAGTGGGTGTGGAATGTGGATAGTGGTTTTGAGTTGTGTGACATTGACAATGAGGTCGAGATTCAAGTTGAAGAGCTAACTGTAGAATTTCAATCTTTCGACCCCAAGATAGTTGGTGATGCCGAGATTAAAAAATTCTAGTACATGTGCAAATATGGATGTCAACAGTCGTGAAATTTTGGAGTTTGAGCCCATTGGACCTCATTCTATCCGTTTTCCAACATTATATTTGGTTGGTGATATGGAAATTGAGCTAACCGAGCCTATGGAGGAATTTGGAGATGAAGAACAAGTTGCTTATATTTTGAAGTTTGCCATGCTTATAAGACAAAAGGACATCCTTCATTTGAAGGCTAAAAAGTGCAAGATGCGACACCGGGTAGTTGGCCTCTTTTATTTTGTACCACCGCCGCAAGAGCATAGCCGTAAACCTGATTTGAAGTTGGGGACCCAATTCATATCCTCAAAGTGGAAAGAAAAGTGTTTATTTGGTTCATGTCGTGCCACGACCTTAAATGCGGCGCTTCATGGGAGGCAACCCATGTTTTCTTTCATTTTCAACTGAGTAATCTGATTTTAGTTTTTAGTTATGTTTCTCTTAATATTTTAAGTCACTCTACTGAATTTCATCTCATTTGGCATTGTATTGCACAGTTTAAGAGGTGGGCTTGTTTTTAGAAAAAAAAAAGTGCAGAAAACTGCCTAGAGTTCCAGATGCAGGCATTTAAAAGACAAAAAAAAAAACTGAAGCACCTCTCATTTGGTCAAATATCTTCAAACATGTGCCGAGCCCTTCTCCCTCAAAGCTCTCTAAATCCTTGCAACTGGCACTCCACATTCATTCCTTACTGATACTTCTCCATTCTTCATCTCTGTAAGTGGAGTTCCAGAATTACGAGATTCATTTGGCAGTCCCCTTCTTTCTCAATTTAATTTTCGATCTCCTAGTTTCAGGTATGGCTTCTATTTCTCTTCTGTTCTCATTTTTTTTTACTCTCTTTCTTCCTTCTTATTCTCTTTCTTGTGAACCTAAACTAGTTTGAAAGCCATGAATATCTGAGTGTGTTTTTATATATGGCCGAATTGGGCTCAATTTATGGTTTGAATGGTGGTACAGTTTGTGCAATTTGATTTTCTGTGGTGAGGATTTGGTTTAGTGATTGTGTGTGCTATTGTTTATGAAACAAAGTGGGGGAATTCTGAGTACCTCTCTTCTCTTAAATCAACTGATTTGAACTATGACCACAATGTGTTCGACAAATTTTCACCGGAGGAATTTGAACTATTCAGTGAAGTCTGAGTGACCAAAGGCTTAGTAATAGTTCCTAGAATTGAATATGGGATGGGGGCGAGCTACACAAACTAATTCTGTGACTGCTTGTGTGAAGCCAAGAGTGTGTTCATAGTGTGAGCTGCTTTAGAATGATCCGCGACTGTACTGAATGAGTTATCCCAGCTCGCAAGATGTTCTTGCATGTGTAATTCAAACTATAGTGCTTATGAATGTGCCGAATGTCATTTGGAATAGGCTATTCCTACTTTAAGTTCACTTGCATTTTTCACTCTACTTGAGAGATGAATGATCATGAATGAGGCTTCATGTCGAGAACTGCAATGCAAATTGAAAGTTGCGATTTACAATATCCTGAGAGAATAGAAGTTATCCTGAGACGTTTAACTGAGTTGTAGGAATTGTGCTTAACGTAAAATGCTTCTTGTTCTCTCAAATTGAATTGGCTTAGGGCATGAACTAAATGTGGGATGTTTCAGTTCTCATGACTTTTTGGTGATTATTAATTGAGATGCTATGCTATATCCTGATACTGCAGCCTTAGTTGATTCATATTACCGATCTGAGTCTGCATGCTAATTGTATTACTGAGTGAGTGGAAGGATTAAGCCTGGTTAACTTAGCAGTTAGCACCTGGAGCTTGGAATTCAGTTGTTATTCATACTTAGATTGATTAAATTGGAGGGGAAGTCCAAGTACCTTTCTTGCCTGAAATGACCAAGCAAATTGTTTCTTTGGTTCCTATTAGTCAACTGTGTGGCTGCATAAATGAAAGCTATTTCACATCTATGTAACATTTCAATGTGCTTGCATGGATTATAGTTACCTTTTGCTCTTGTTTTGGTATGTGGGCTGATTCATACATTAATGTGCAAGGTATAAATTTGTGAGTGAAACTGTGTAAAAAGTACTTCTTGTGGAAAGTGAAAGTATCTGAGACTTGAATTGTGAGCTAAAGACCTATCAGTGGTGATAGAAAGTATGCTTTATTTGTTGCGAAGCTTTTGTGAGTCCTTTTGATGTGATGACAGTGGTTTTAGAGTTGGCAGGAAACAATAAGTTTTCATATATCAAGTAAGAACATTTCTCTGGCATTAATGGTGTCCGATACATTACTCTAGTTGCTTGTACCTTATTCTCACATGTCATTTCATTTTTCAGGTACTTCTTAACATTAAATGGCCTCTAGTGCATTCGAAATAGCTCAAGGAGCAGAAAGAAGACAAATTCTCGGACACACATCGTTTCAGGGAGTCCCTCTACTTTGCTTTTATTGTTAGTTGCATCGAGGACAATACCACATTTTAAGTTGGGGGGAGGAGCTTAATTGTCTTTGGGGGAAGCTATTTGAGCTAAATTGACTTGATTTGACTTTTTGTGAGATGACTTGGTTATTTAACTTTATTTACAGTTTTTAATAGTTCTTTTTTCTTTATTTTTTTTAAGTCAACTTCTTTTGTTATCTTATTAGTAACTAGTAATGAATAAATGGTGTTGGTTGTAATTTTTGCCCCTTATCCAACTTGTGGCTTGTTTGGTACCAACATACTTAAACTTTGGCATGTGAATTGTATTTTGAAAATGAAAGAAAATTAAAGTGATGATGTTTGTTGTGATCTTTAGGCTCGATTTTTGGCTCTTTGTTCACTAAATAGTCTCTTTAGACTATAAGTAGTTTTTTGAGTTTAATTGTTCTTAATTGGGATTTGAAGACACATATCCTACTTGCTTTCCATGTGCCAATGTGTGGTGAGAATTTTGTTAGTTCTTTGCTTTACTTATGATCTAAAACTTGCCCCAAATGTGATTTGAAGCGAAATCATAGGCTTTACTTGGCTTGAAAAAGGATTTTACGCCTTCTTTGGACCATGTGTGCCTTAATGTTCCTACCTTTGCATGTGTTCCCTACAGTGTTATAAATAGCGCTCGCTACAACGCTAAAAGCGTGTAGCGACGCGAGGCGAGGGTGTGTCGCTTCAGAGCATCTGTTGCGTTGCGATTCAAAATAGCGGCCGCCTCTCTCTGTGTTGCGTGAGGCAACAGTGTCGTGAAAAGCTACTGTAGCGTCGCTATTTTTTAAAAAAAAAAAAGGGAAAGGGAGAAGACTTAAGTCGGGAATTAGGGCTTCGAGCTTTTCACCTGCGAACAAAAAAACAAAGCTTCAGCGATTAGGGCTTTTCACCTGCGAACAAACCAACAGTCTTCTTCAGTCTTGTTCTTCATCATCTGGCTTCATCTTCTTCAAGCTTCAACAGCGAAAAAACAGAGGTATGCTCCTTCTTCTTTCTTCTTTCTTCTTCTTTTCTTCTCTCTATTTTTTTTTCTTCTCTTTTTTGTCGAAAGAATCAGAGCCAAATAGTGTCTGTATTTGTACTGTATTTGCCAAGCAAAAACTAAGGTCGTTCTTCTTCTCTTAATTTTTTTTTGCTCTGTTTGTCTTCTTCTTTATTTGCTGTTTTTCCAGAGGCAAAAATTTCATTTTTGTTCTTCTTTCTTTGCTGTTTATAAAGGCAGAATCATTTTTTTTTGCTCTGTTTTTTTTGTCTTCTTTCTTTGCTGTTTTTTCCAGAGGCAGTAGGATTATAGAGTATTATATGCAATTAATCAGAATAGTATTATATAGTAGAATTAATTGCATATTGACTTGATAACTGTTTTTTCTATAAAACAGCGTTGAAAATTGAAATGGCGTCATCCGATAGTAATAAACGAAATGATATAGCTTGGAATTATGCTATACAAGGCTCATCAAGATTCGCAATTAAATGTGTGTTTTGTGAAAAAAATATATCATGGTGGGATAACTCGTCACAAGCAACATTTGATATGTGGATTTAAAAATGTAATACAATGTCCCCTTTGTCCGCCCGAGGTTAGGGAGGAAGTAAAAGCGTTTGTTGAAAAGAAAAATGTGGCAAGAACTCAAATGAATTATGAAACATTGATGAAGATGATGAAATGGATGAAGAAGGTGAAATGGGACCTCCCGACTCATAAGATAAATTCAAATACTTCTAGTGGGTCATCCACGTCACGTACGATGACAAAAGGTCCTCATAATCTTTATTTCTCGGCAAAACAACAAGAAAGGGGAAAAGGTGAAGAAGGTTCAGGTTTAGAAGCCAAGAAGATTTTGAGGGATCGCGCCGTCAGTGCCTTTGCATCATGGATGTGCGATGCAGGGCTTCCTTTCAACTATGTTAACTACAATAGTTTTGATAAATTCATTAAGGCCGTAGGACAATATGGCCCAGGAATGAAGCCTCTTAGCTATCATGAAGTTAGAGTAACTCATCTTAAAAAGGAGGTGAAGAAGATAGACCAAATTATTGAGGAGCATAAAGTAGAATGGAACAGGTTTGGATGTTCCATTATGATGGGTAAATGGACAACACAGAATGTAAAAATGATCGTAAATGTGTTGGTGAACTCTCCAAGAGGGAGTATTTTTCTTGAATCTGACGATGCTAGCAACTCTTCTGCGGATGGAAGCAAAATGTACAGCTTGTTTAGAAAGACTATTGATAAAATTGGAAAGTGAAATGTTGTACAAATTGTTACAAATAACGCTAGTGAGAATGTTAGTGCGGGGAAGATGATGGAAGCTATGTATCCAAACATTTATTGGACTCCATGTGTTGCCCATTGTATCAACTTGATGTTTGGTGACATATTCAAGGAAAACCCATATGCTTAAGGTAACTTTAATATAGTTATCTTTAAAGCCTTTAACTTTATTTATACTTATGTCATATCCTATTAAGTATTAACTATAAAATTGTTATTGTTACTTTTACAGTTTTCACTAAAGCCGTCAAGGTATATTCTTACATCAATCAGAGGTCGTCGTCGTTGAATTTGATGAGGAAATTCACAAATGAAAGAAATTTGGTGAGACCGGCCAAGACTAGATTTGCAACGACTTTCTTAACTTTGCATAGTTTTTACTTGGAAAAAATAAATTTGAGAAAGCTAGTTCTTTCGAATGAATGGAAAGATAATAAATATGCAAAGGAAGCTGCGGGGAAAGAAACTGCCAAAGTTCTTATTTCTCCATCATTCTGGAATGACGTCGTTCGGGCTCTTAAAGTTGGTGGTCCTTTGATTAGGGTGCTTCGTATGGTGGATGGGGAGAAAAAACTACCAATGGGCTATCTTTATGAAGCTATGGATAGAGCCAAAGAGAGTATTGCAGCGTCATTTGAGGGAGATGTTAGGAAATATGAGAAAGTTTTTGAGATAATTGATACCAGGTGGAACAATCAACTCCATCGACCTTTGCATGCAGCAGGCCATCTTCTGAACCCGGGATTATTTTACAAGAACACTAGAGATGAAACTTTGGATTCAGAGGTGTGAATTGGATACCATGCATGTCTTGAGAAGTTGATCCCTAATTCAGCGACGATAGATCAAATAGGGGAGGAGTTTGGTAAGTACTCACAAGCAGAGGGCCTATTTGGTTTACCGGCCGCCATTAGAGCCAGAGACATAAGGTCGCCAGGTAACTAACTTTAATATAGATATCCTTATAACTTTAATTTAATTTATTTGATTTATACTTATTAACTTTTAAAATATTTTTCTACAGTTGAATGGTGGAAGCAATTTGGACATCAAACTCCAAACTTGCAAAAGTTTGCCATCAAAGTATTAAGCCTAACTTGTAGTGCATCTAGATGCGAGAGAAATTGCAGCGTACTTGAGCATGTAAGAAGTAGATTTATTATATTAATATATTCTATATTATATTATTATTAGTATCTATTAATTAATCTAAATAACTTATGCGCAGATTCACTCCAAGAAAAGGAATAGGCTTGAGCTATCGCGTCTCAATGATCTAGTGTATAGTGTATATTAAATACAATAGAACATTGAGGCGACGTTATGAAGCTCGCGATACCACTGATCCAATTTTGTTGGACAACATTGACGAGGCAAATGAATCGTTAACTGGAGCCCCCCGAAATCATGAAGATGAACAAGTGTATGAAGGAGATGATCTTGATTGGGGTACTATTTCTATGGCGGTTGGAGTTGAAGAGAATATCTATGGACTTAGAGGGAGTTCTTCAAGTTACAAGGGAAAGGGAGTAGCAAGTTCAAGCCGGTCCCTAATTGATGAAGAGTCCGAGGATGAAGAAGATGATAGCTAATATAATGCTAACATTCATGAAGTTGTAGAATTTGAAAATCTTAAAGAAGATTAGATGTTGCTTGTTTTAGAGTTTAGACTATTAGACTTTAATTTATGAATCTACTATGAGTCTATGACTATCTATTGAGTTTTTGATTTTAGAATGATATATTTATTAATATATTTTTGTTATTGAGTTTTTAGTTATATGTATATAATATTTTATTTTTTGTATAAATTGTCGCTTCACATAAAAAAGGCGAGCGCTTCGCTGCGCGCCTCTCGCCTCAGTGAAGCGGGCCCTCGTCGCTATTTGTCGCCGCACGCTATCCAAAACACTGGTTCCCTAGTTAAACCCTTTTGAGCCTTGAACCTTTTTGTTGGCATCCTCATTACAAGCTTTATACCTTTATGCTTAATTGACCTATCTTTTGGCACCCTACCTCCTTGAGCATTAAAAATTGCAACTTAGGCTTTTAGCCTAAGTTGGGGGGAGTGAATGGTGAAGTTGTGAACGGGAAGTTGATGGAAAGGTAAAAGAGAAAAGTTAAAAAAAAAAAAGTGAAAGGAAAAGAGAAGATAAGTGAAAGAGGTTATGAAGAAAAAGAAAAAGAAAAGGTAGAAAAGAAAAAGAATGAAAAAGAGTACAAAATGGGTGAATATGAAAAAGAGTACAAAATAAAGTGATGACTTGGTGAAAAATTGGAAGAAGCAAAGGGTGAAAAAGATATGCAAGGAAGCGTATTCTTGAGTTGTTGCAATGGTAGTGCTTAGGGAGGTTGTAGTCACTTTTATCCATATTTACGTCTTACCCTACCCTCATCCAAAGCCTACGTTACAACCCATTAAGTCCTAATTGATTTTGAGCTAAGTGAACTTAAATTAGTAGAGATTTACATGAAGGGCAAGCTTATGGTATCACTTGGGGCTTTTGAATTTCTTTGTGAGAGAGTGTTACTTTTTCCTATTTAACTTTCCACCTTTTGTTAAATTCATATTGTGTGTGAGATTCTCTCTTGATAGTAAGGGCACATGAGAGTTTGAGTTATGGACAATGTTTCATTTTCTAATTGGGACTAAAGGACAAGAAAAGTAATTTGTGTGATAAAAAGGTAATTTTTCAATCTTTAGTGTCGTGGCTTGGTAACACTTTGATTTGTTTGGTGATATGACACTTGGAATTGAAGCTTGAATTTTAAAAGTTGTGGAAGATTCATATGCTTTAGGTTAATTGTTGGTACCAACCAAAGTCATGGTAATGTGCTTAAATTGTACTTTTTGACTTGGTGTTTTTGATATACTTGGATGCTTGAACGAGAGTCATATTGGAGAACTTTATTGGTGTTTAATTTGCTTGAGGACAAGCAAAAGTTTAAGTTGGGGGGAGTTGATAAGTTAGTATTTTACCAACTTATCTTTTCTTTTTACTTAGATTTTTGTTTGGATTTTTGAGAAAATAGTGTACTTATTGTGGTTTTATTGCATTTTACAGATTTTGTGTTTGGAAAGATACTTGGAAGGAAGCAAGTAAATAATAAAAGGAAAAAAGAAGCCAAATTGAAGAAAAGATGAATATTCTGGCTATCTCAAAGTGGTTAAAAGTGGCTGATTTTGCAATTTCAGACAAAAAGTCGCCAGAAACGCAAAGCAGCTGGTTGGGCGCAAATCTGAAGGATTTTCTTGTCATTTTAACTTGGAAAAATTGTGGAACTTATAAAAAGAAGACTTGGGTAAAATTATTAGTATCTTTGGCTATTTACCAAGCTTTGGGAGCAAGGATCCATAAACTTAACCTTGGGGATTGAAGATTTGGAGCCAAGCTTATGAGAATTTCTTACTCCTTTCTTTAGTTCCTTGTCTTGGATTGCTATATTTGGTTTAGTTGATGTAATTTCAGGTTTGGATTTTGTAATAGGGATATTTCAATATTAGGGTTTTGATTTTAATGTTTTGTTGCTTTTGTAGTAATTGAATCTTGCTTATTTATGAAATGGGTCTTTAGCTTATTTGATTAATCTTGTGCTTTGTTGCTTTCAAAGAGAGTAGCTAATTCTAGGACATCCCCAATTGACATGATTCACCTTGGGAAAGGGAATTAGGTTTGGGCTTAGATTAATTGACGAGATTCTAGGTTAATTGAGGAATTGATTAATCCTAGTCTAGTGATTGAGGTTAGGGATAATCCTTCACACTCGTAGCCTAAAATTGGATCGCACTTAATGCAACTTGGTTAGACTAAGGATAATCAACCGGGTTAAACTCGTTATTTGTTGAGAAACAGTAGTGGATAATCGAGTTTCAAGGTAATGACCTAGACCTATGATTAATTAGCAAGAGTTGATTAAATACATTAGATTAATCTTGACATTAAAGTCTTTCATGTTATCCATATTCTCTTATTTTCCTTGCTTGTGTGAATGCCATCGATCACTTTATTTGCTTTTTTAGATTAGATTTTATTTTTCTTAGGTTTTAGTCCACATCAACCTTTTATAAAGTATTTGGCTTAGCTAAATTGGTGACAATTCCTCACTATCTTGACCGCCCTTATATTGTTCTCTCTGGATTTGGACGTCATCGACTCCCGAACACGGTCCCGACTTATTCTCTTGGGCTTTTACTCAGACTTCAAATCTCCAAATCACTTGAATTCATTCCATAACATCTATATATCCTACAAGGCATAAAACACACAATTAGTGCAAAACTCTAGCAATTAAAGCTCAAACTCAATTAAAGTGCAATAAATTGGAGTACGATAAGCAACTAAAATACAAGATTATAGCCTACCATCAAGTACCAGTCTAGACCTTTCTAGAAACCATACTCTGATTTAAATTGTACATGCATCTTGCTAAACCTAGTATAGATTGAGGCGTCATTGACATAATAACCTGCTTAGATAAATCCTTGCCCAAAATCCGACGGGATTTCCATAATCCCAAAGGAAACCATCATATTATGTGCACTACTTGGAGAAAACGTGCCAACATGTTGATCATTATTGCGTAAGTAGCCGAATTTGGAGGGGGAAAGGGCTAACCTTTGTTTGTTTGCAGAAAATGAAGCATGCAATCCTAAGGTTCGGTATGGTCCAAAACATCCCGCCTTTGCTAATTGACTGGTGGAAAGACGTTGCACCCTGTGATAGGAATCATGTGAGGAGAGTACTTGGCGGCCTGCCATCTTTGCTGAACATTCGACCAAATAGAGAATTGATCGAGGTCGCTACCATGTTCTGGGACGAGAAAAGAGTTTTTTTTTTATTTGGCAATATAGAAATGACTCCTCTCCTAGAAGAAGTAGGGGGTTTCGCCAAGTTACCATGGGGTAGTCCAAGACTCTTACTGCCAGAAAATCGCACTCCGTGCGGTTTTCTGAAAATGTTGGGTTTTAAGAAGAATGATGAACTGCTATGTCTCAAGAAATCAAACATCCCTTTTGCGTTTCTTTACGAGCGTTATGGGCATAGCAAATCATATCGCCTTCATCATGATAAGTTAGCCATTACCTCTTTGGGATGGGTGCATCGCCGAGTTTATGTTTTCATTGTCTGCTTCTTGAGATTAATGATCTTTCCGATGCTAGGGAGAAGGATTCATACTCGCTTAGCCATGGTCGCCAGGACCTTAATGGATGGCATCGAAGGACAAACTTATACTATCATCCCAATGATCTTAGCTGAGATGTACCGTAATCTGGATCGGTGCAAGCATGGGTTCGGACACTTTGAGGGTTGTAATCTGTTGCTACAAGTTTGGCTATTGGAGCACTTTTAGAGGGGTAAGTATCGCCGACAACATTTGCGAAGGCCACTGAATGACTACATAGCCAATCATCACCCAAATAAAATGATGTTCATCCCAAACAGGACTATAAAGCCTGAAAATGCTGTAGGCTGGGTGTGTTTCTTTATCAATCTAACAGACGAGCAAGTGCATTGGATGTTTAAATGGTTTCCTAGGAGTGAGTTCATCATCAGATCAAAAGGAACTACTTACTTGGTACTGATTGGGATGCGAGGCATCTACCCTTACGCTCCTACAAGGGTAATGAGACAAGCTGGAAGAAAGCAAGTCATTCCTCGGGTACCCAACATGGTTCAGTATAAGGCAAAATTTAAGGGAGATATAATCCCATTCATGTTCGAAGCGTAACACATGTGGAACCAAAATATCATCGTGGAAGGAGAAACTATTGAGCCAGACAGGTATCACGCCAGCCATATGTACTACTATCTATCATGGCTGGAAGACGACATAAATGGGGACGTTAAACCCGGAGTCAATCTAAAGGATAAAATCATAGATGAGGTTGCTGAGGCACAGGTGAAGTACAAGAGGCTACGCAGCCAAGCATCTAGAACAACATAAAGTGAACATGGAGGCGATAAGAAAATGGAAGAAATTGCAACTAAGTCGACAGAGAGGTTGGAATACTTGGAGCAAGGATTGATGGAGCTAGAAGGGAAGATAAGGAAGAGACTTTGGGATTGTCAAGGCATGGACGACGATAAAGGGGGAAGCTGGCAAAGGCTTATTTGCTACTGGACATGCGCGATCTAGGAAATATGATTGATGGGGTCAAGAGACCCAAGAATGGAGAAGGTCCTTCAGGGACCAAGTGGAATATTAGATGATGTTCTTTACTGGTTTCTAGTTTAGATTAGATTTTGATGTAATAAGGCTTTGTGCCATTAGTGATTTTATTATTATTATTATTGTCGATTTAGTGAAAGATTATTTTGGCTTATTTATGCACTAATGAAATGAAGCAAACGTTGGCATCAATTTTCTCCAAGTCTATGTGTCGCTTAGGCCTATCTCAGGCACAATGAGGTCCCCAAAATTAGGACGCGAATTAGTTTTGTGATACGTGCTTAAATATTGCAAACACCATTTTATTTTGTCTTGCTGACTTGGTTACCTTTTGTTTTTATTTCTTTTATTTATTCACATTCCCAAAGGTTGGTTCGTGCAAACTGGCATCATCATCAGCATATCACACTAGATCCAGAGGTCCTCCACCTCCTTCTCCACCTAGTGACCCGAAAAGCAAAGGCAAGGGAAAAGGTAAGATGGATGATTTAAGTGGTATCCGGAAAGACAATGCTACTGCGGCAGAAAATGTTGAAACTTTAGATGGTAGAAGCACTCTAGGACATAATGAGTTGGTCTTACGTTAGGAGCAGAAAATCCTGGAGCTACAGGGTGAGCTTGAAAAAGTCCGGAATCTGGAAAAACTTTCCCTTACTCTCAATGTTCCCGACATCAACCAGTAAAACCAACACCACCACAAAACAAACAATACCAGAATCCACCACCCATAGCTCCGAATCCTCCCGCACCGCACCAGTACCATAATCCCCCGCCTCCCTAAAACCTTAACCCACCACCAGTTCAAACCCCTCAACAACAACACCATCACCCAACCCAATACTCGCAAACCACTACTTATCACACTCCCCAAAATGCACCACAACCTACTCCCGATCCCTAAAACTCAACCAACGATCACCCATACACCCAAGTTCCAAGAACTCATCAAAGCAATCTGATATACGTGGAAACCTT